TTGGTAGCGTCTTTTCAAATCACTGCTTTTGGAAATAAGTGGGATTGAAAGCGATTGTGACGTTGTGAGTGTTAAGGTCATAAATGGAGTTTGTCCAGGTTTTCTTCCTTACGACACACAAAACTGAGGTCGATGACGATCATTCAGAAATTCAGTAAGTCATCTTAATGATTCAAAAAGCACTCTTATTTAATTGCATTCATCTAAATATCAGTTTCTGTCAATGAATTGGAAGTGCTATAAGAAAAAGATATATAAGCCTGTAAGTAATACATTTTTATCTGAATTTTTCAATGGATGACTTACTGTTATAAAACATTTTTTTAAACCAATGAGTAGTGAACAAAGTTTTGCCATTACGACTAGCCAACAACGTAAAAATGACGCTAATATAAATAAACAATAATATGCTATTATTGCACGGTGCAGCAATAATGTGCTTTCCGTATTTAAATTAGTGCTCGACATTGGAAAAAAGTTTTTAGAAATTTTTGAAGAAGAAAATCATGTACACGAATTTTGAACTTTAAAATTATTCATGATTTCCTTCAAATAGACTTTTCTTACTATTTATTTGAAATATTATAAAATAGTGCATGACTTGATTTTGAAAGAAAAGAACTTGATTTGAAGGTTAAGAAAAATATCTCGTTTATTGTCGAGGACTTATTGGAATACTTTTCTTTTTTTCTTGTAGAATCATTACATATTTTAAATTTCGTGAATGATATCTGGGAATCTTCTATTCGAAAATGAATCTCCAGTTTCATTATATCACTCACAAATAAGGACTCACAATATCATGGTAGATTTCAGTTATCTTCAGAAGTCATAATCAAAAATGCTTGTATTATTATTATTTTTTAAATCTTATAGATATTTTTAGAACCACAATGAAATGGTTATGCATCTTCACTTTTAGTTTATGAGTGCTGTAATATATGTGAGATTTTTTTTTTACTCGTAGAAGTTTTGGAGGCTTTAAGTACAGTGAAAGATGTCTTAGAGAAGCTTTTATTTTTTGTTCAAGTTCTTAAAACACTTACTTTTGAAAATCATAACCAAAATGCACCAAAGTCAATATTTACAAATATTTCTATCTAATTTTGTTGCAAACACTTTTTTTAATGGATCAATTTTTTCTCATTGACAAATAGAACAAATATTCTGTCAACCCATCACAATTATGTAAGAATATTTCCTCATCTCTGGAGTTTTTCTATTTATTTTATTTATTTTTTTGTTCTAGTGCAGCTGGCAAACACTTAGACAGTAGTCGTTGATGCCTTAAGGTAATCGCTGCGCCGTTGCTACTTACTTAGCACTACCCAGGATGTGCGTGTAGCTTGAAGATAAGCTGTGGTACCGAGCGCCAGAGCGCTAGCATCCTCTCGGTCATTCAGGCCCAAATCGTTTCTCCATCGATCATTTGTTGTCGATAGTGTTCAGTATTAACAGTTTCGCCAGGTATTAATAGCTCATAATAGATCACACCCTTTTGATACCACCAAACACAGGGCATTGTCTACCACAGAGAGGCCACTCGGTCATCAGACCCCTTCAAGGCAAATATTCATAAATAATTTTTTCAATTTGTCTGATTTTACTGGAAAATTTATTACTGGGAATAGTTTTTCACATTGACAAATGGAACAAATGCTGTCCCTTATCACAATTCGGTAAGAACATTTCCTCTTCTGGAGTGTTTTCTCTTATACATCTCCTCAAATTGAATTAATGGCTTTTAACTAAAGAGAAATGATGTATCCCCCCCCGAATACAAACAATCTCACGTAATAGAATGCGAGTCATTTCCGGAGTCTAATCTTCTGTTCCACGCCTCGGATTAGCAAGCATTTTCGGCGTGATACAGGAGAAACCCATTTTTAGTTTGCCTTATACAGAGTTGCTACTTTTTTTTCTTCTAATGCAGCTGGCAAACACTTAGACAGCTTGGTCTTGGATGCCTTAAGGCAAGCGCTGCACAAACGTTACTCACTTTGCATGACCCAGGGGGCGCGTGTCACTTGAAGATAAGCCACGGACGCGGAGTAACAATGCCCCCCGCAACGCTCTACGATCCTATTCGACCGGGACCTACGGTTTAAAGTGGAACAGAGTGGCTATAATTAAGCGTGCCCTATTTAGAGAATGTTACAGTTAAAATCAGTCAGCAGATTGACACCAAAAAATGATGTAAGGACTATACACCTGATGCGTTAAGGAAATCTCCAAAAATAAAAATAAGTTCATAAATATTCACTAGAGGAGCTGAATAGGTCTCGGTCCCGATCGAAGATTTATTGTTTATTAATGAATGCATTGACTAGCGCTCTGATGCTCGGTGGATGCACACATAATGTGTTTTTTTAATACATTGTTTTTCACTACTTGGGCCATTATAAAACAAATATATTTTGTAAAAGGGTGATACATCACACGGGCCGGAAAAAATTTTCAAAGCCGGCCGCGGGTTGGCCACCCCTGACGTATACAAATCATAAGATTTTTTTTTCATTGCTGATCATCAAAATTATTTTCAATTGTTCAAATCGCTATTTTTATTCCTTATTGGTCATTTACTACGTCGAATTTCCTGCACTGTGCTTCAAAGTGCCCCCTTGCAGACATTTTTAATTCAGAAGAATACTTTAATGCATCTGGTGCATCTATAATCCATATATCAATATTATGTCAATCCGCTGACCGGTTACAGCTGCAGCAAACTATAAATAGATGAAGCTTAATTATAATCAATTTGTATTTGACGTAAGGATAGAAATTTTCGATTAAACTTGCTTATTAGGTTTTAAGTTCCGCTATTTCATAATAACGGCCATTTAATCATCATAATTAAATAGTTATAGTAAATGATATTAATAGTTAACGGCTATTTAATAATCATGATATTATTGGTTAATTAAAGACGGCGAGATCTAAGGAGAATAATATCGTATAAGCTTATGAAAAATGTCGTCTAAGTCTTTGTCCATTGGACACTTAAAAAAATCAATTTTAAATATATTGGTAAGTCATTTATTATAAATCTATTCAGAGGAATGGTCTAAATACAATTTTTTTATTGCCAATCTGAAGAGGAACTTGTTTCTAGCGATTCAAAACAAAATAAACTTGGAGAGTTAAATAATATCGTTATTCATACTTATATAACTAGGGCCTGAATGGCGCTCTGGCACTCGGTACCACAGGTTTCGGGTTCGAGTCCCGGCGGTGACATGGATGTTTGTAGTGGTTCGGAATCCACTTTAAACCATAGGTCCCGGTCCTAATAGGATCGTAGAGCGTTGCGGGGGCATTGTTACTCCGCGTCTGTTGCTTATCTTCAAATTACACGCGCACCCTGGATAATGAAAAGTGAGTAACGCCTGTGCGGCGCTTGCCTTAAATCATCCAAGACCAAGCTGTCTAAGTGTTTGCCAGCTGCATTAGAAAGAAAAAAAACTTATATAACTAGCTAACTAAGTCAATGTTGAATTGTGGTCGTCTGCCTATTTTCGCTATTATTGATGAATAACTACTCAATGGGTTAGTCTACCGCAGGGGTGGCCAACCCAAATGATCTTGCGGCCACTTTGGAAATGCATTATAACTCCGCGGGTCGCATATAAAATTATATATCCCCTATTAGATTTAGATCCACAATACACATTTTTTTTTGGAGTGAAAAACTGAAACATAATGAGTTATTTTTTTGTGACATGTAACATACATGTAAACATAGATAATAAAATAATAATGACACTAAACGCACGTTGTAAAGAAAGATATAACACTAGAGATGAAATTAAAATTATTAAAAAACATTTATTTCTAGTACAATATTTGTTTCTCCACTCTTTCACTTAGCTTCTGCAAATCGATACGCTGCATCATGAGTTCGCAGAATATAATGTAATTATTCTGCGAACTCATACATAAAACAGGCATTATCTGCCATATATTTGCCAGAATTTTATTTTAAATTCAAAGTTAATTTTTTCTCATAATTTCGACAGTTCATTTTTGAATAGATGGATGCACACATAATGTGCTTTTTTAATACATTGGTTTGCACTACTTTGGCCATTATAAAATAAATACATTTTGTTAAAGTGTAATAAATCTCACTGGCCAGAAAAATGTTCAAGGCAGGCCACGGATTTGCAACCCCTGATCTAAAGCTTCACCTATTCGATACTTAAAAAAAAATAAATTTTAAATATACTAATAAAAATAAGTGTTTAAGAGTAAATACAAGTAATTTATTATAAATATTTTCAGAGCAATGCTCTAAATACATTTTTTATTTTAAATCTAAAGAAGAACTTGTTTCTAGCGATTCAAAACAAAGTTAACGTTGACAGTTAAATATTCATAGTTATATGCCCAAAAGAAATTAAGAAAATTTTAAATTTATAGCCATTGTATTCATACTGGAGAATACACAGTGAATTTTAATGCTTTAGTTTCATCTTTGTTTTTTAAATATTTATAATTTATTATGAAAATAAGATTTAATAAATCAAAAACCTCATGAATAATTTACGCACATTTCTTCGGCTTTTAATTTTATACAATCTTTGCATAAATAATAATAATGATATATTCAGAGGTGGGGTCAAAGTTTTTATTCATTTTTCAACATTAAAACAGCCAATAGTAAGAAAGAATCTGTGAAATCGCATATTGAGTACATCGTATAAATTTTAAAATTCATGTTGTTGTTGTTGTTGTTTCTTATCCCACTTGGGTGGCCAAGCCCACGAGCCCATATGGACTCATGATTGAAGGGGAAGGAAGCAGCTTCTGTTGTGATGGAGCACCCGTAGGTGGAAGCCTGACTTTTGCTCCGTGACGCTCTTACAGTCATGGGAGACCGGGACCTACGGCTTAAAGTGGATTCCGAACCACTACAAACATCCATGGCACCGCCAGGATTCGAACCCGAAACCTGTGGCACCGAGCGCTAGACACTCGGCCATTCAGGTCCCAAATTTGCCAACGGCACGCAGTGTTCCCAGGTGGTGACCCACCCAAGTACTGACCGCGCCCAATGATGCTTGACTTCGGTGATCTAACGCGAACCGGTATATTCAGCATGGTACGGCCGTAAAATTCATAAATGCATTATGGTTAACACTTATGTTTCTTACATTTCATCTATGAATATTCTAGACTATTTCAGAATGGCAAAAAAAAAAAAAAAAAAAAAAAAAAAAAAAAAAAAAAAAAAAAAAAAGAAAAAAAAAAAAAAAAAAAAATAAATAAAAAAAAAAAAAAAAAAAAAAAAAAAAAAAAAAAAAAAAAAAAAAAAATCAATAAGAAGTCATATATTGAATACATTGAATTTTAAGGCAACTTTTTGTGACAGAAAATTTAAAGGGATTTATAGAAAAATATTATTTAAAAAACAAGTAATATAAAAAAAAAAAAATTTAAGTCATTTCTTACATAGGTCAACAAAGAAAAATTTTATTGTTATTTTTTATTAAATAATTACAATTAATATAAATATGTAGATACATATGACAGAATCACACTATTAAGTTTCAAAATAGAAAGCAAATTTCCCACTTCCCTTTCAATATATGCTGTTGGACTATTATTTTTGTTTGTTACTATTTATTCGCTTTCTATTTTTTTTTCGTTTCTAATTTATGAAGCTGATGGTATTCTATAATTTCTCATTCTATCCATTTCTTGTAAGGCTTCATTATTGCAAAGAACCTTTCCAGTGAGTTTCGAGCAGTCCAATTCTTCAATTAATAGTCCATCAAGTGATTTCACACGATTCAAGCCGACATCAATTTCTCCATTTTTATTTTTTGAGAAAAATCCATCATTCTAACCACTAAGCCACAACTGCTAACTCACTCTCGAAAATCATTTGGATAAAACGTCTACTTAAAGCAAAAATTTCCGCCTTCGCGTGAAAAATATTGAAATCCTCGCATTTTACCTATTGAGCTACTGCCTGTTCATTTCAGTTTTCATTACAAACAGATAAAACTCTATTTAAAGTATTAAAAATTATTAATTAAATTTAATGAATGAATTAAAATTAGAAAATCTGTATTAACATGAAGTGTCATCCACTACAAGTTTAAAAAAATGTCTTTGAACTTGAGTGGACGAATAAAAAGTATTTTATGAACGATTGAAAATGTGAGCAAGATATATATAGGGAGAGTGTGGGCTAATAGAAGGACTTGAATAATGTAAATAAATAATAATACCACACATAACTAGTACTATTATACTATTAAATAATAATGCCACACATAACTAGTACTATTATACTATTAAATAATAATATAATAGTACTATATAACATTATTTTCTCTTTGAAATCTTGTTACATCCTCTTTCTAATTTAATAATTAGTTCTTTATTATTTTAGAAGTTTTAGTTTTTTAAGCTATAAATTAAGAAAATTTTAACACCTATCTATACCGTATAATAAATAGTTCATAGTTTAATATCAATTTTATGTCAGGGCTAGTGACAAAAGTTTCAACCCATTTCTAAGCTTCCCTGTTATTTGTCTTTAATAATTTAATGTAAAAATCATGTTGGAAATCATTTGATTAAACTTGACCTCCAACTGCACCATAATTATCGAGTTAATTTATACTCAAGTATATAGAGATATTTGCTAGGCGAGCCTGATTTGATGAATTTTCATTCAAAAATTTTGGAACAGATTAAGGATACAAAGCTCTCGTAGATTTGTTTAATTAGATCCTTTTTGAAAAAGTTGAATGGTTACTTAATTGCCACTATCTTTTAAATTTTTACTAAAAATTCAAACTTGCATCCTTTCGTTTCAAAGGATGTTTATAAACTCTCTTGACAAAATAAAAGGAATCTATCAAGATGAACAATATTTTCTAAATAACTTAAAGTCACGTTATTTTCTGAATGTCCAAGTTGAACATTCGACAGTGATGAGAAAAGAGAGGGAGTTGAACCACTGTAGCCAAAGAGAAAAGTCGTGTGGCCAGTCCATCCTCGAGTGTGATGGCTGCCTAAATAAAGGAGATTAATTCATACAGTCCACTTCGTGTGTTTATTATTTGAGTTTATTTGCGTGTGTGAGTGAGCTATCGAACAGGATGCACAATCTCATTTAAATCGATGACATAAAAATTTAAAATAGAAGTTTAAAACAGCAAGAAAGGATATCGGGGCCCACTCCAGTGTCTAAAAGACTGGTGAGCATTTTTGCAGACTTTGTATTTATTTTCAAGATATTCAAAACGAAAATTTGCAAGGAGTTTGCATAAGTATGTCGTACAATAATTATTTTATATACCCGTTATCATAAAGTTATCTTTGCCCAATAATAATATGAAAAATTGAAAATGTAATGTTTTTGCAAAATTTTTTTAAAAAGCAAGTTAAACCTAATTTTGCTGTTGGCTAATTTTGTGATAATTTAAATAACTGAATAAATAACTAAAATTAATAACTTAAATAACTAAAACTAGATTTTATTTAGGTTGACTCTAGATTGTTTTAAATTTGACTTTAAAATTCTATTCTTTTATCTATATAATAGGTTACTGTAATGTTTTCTGGTTATATTTCATGGGTTATATACCCTCCATGGGTCTTCTTTGCGGATCTACTTTATGGGTAATTTACTCTCCATGGGTCTATGTCATGAGTCATTCTATCTTTGTGGATCTGCTTCATGGGTTATTTACTCTCCATGGGTCTATATCATGGATCATTCTTTCATTGTGGATCAAATTCATGGATTATTTTATTCTTCATACTTCATTCGACACTAAGTTTGAAACTTCTTTAACGGTATGCATTGGATTTGTTCCTTATTTGCATTTCGAGGTACGACAAGGAATGTTTTATTAAATCTTCATCGGATTATGTGTTGATTGTTATTTGTTATGATTTAATTCATCTTCATATACTAAAGAATATGGTTTGCGTGTGTTATTGTACTTGTTATTTCCGCAATGATTAAAAATAGTATGATTAATTGTAATAAGTTTCAAAACGAAAGCTTGTTAATATACATAATGTGGCAAAAAATAATAAATAAAGTTGGATAAGAATAATATATATTTTTACGAATAATGTATACTTTCTTAAAATAAAAGAAATTTATAAAACGCAAAATTTACATTTTAAAATTTACTAAGCTGTAAGCTTAAAAGGGTGCATTATTTGACTTGTGAATTTCCACGTAGGAACTTATGAAAAAGTATGAAACTAATGGTCCGATGAGTCGAAGTTCTATTTTCTAGTATTCTTACTTTAGTTCGATAAAATTGAAATTGATTGCACCCCTTCCCCCCCCCCCTTTCCAACCGATTCTCGTCCCAAATTCGAATAAGTTTCAGATGAATTCAATTGTTGAAGAAGGGACACCGTCTTTCGATCTTACGCAACAAGTGCTTTATTGATTTTGAGACCGTAACGCTTTAATATCGAACGTGATGATTTGCTTCGGAGTTTCTAGATTTATCTGTTTAAAAATAAAATTCGAGGAAAGCTTTGCGAAGTTGGAATATCTGAACATCTTTAGTCACAAACAATCTACATTATTTGAACCAGATCAGATTAAAATCTCTTAATTATTTAATAAGTTTTTTTTAATAATAAGATTTATTTAAATTTCATTATTATGAAATTTTCGACCACGAAAATAACTATTAGGTTTACGAATCAATGAACTTGAAACGGATTTTATAGAAAATGTAAAGTCAAAGTGGCTAAAAGAAGCTAGTGTTGTGTGCATACAATAAATTTCGTTGCATTCTGCCACTAAAATGTCATTTCCTGTCAAAGTGCAGTGTCATTTGGACTTCATTCCTGAAGACTGTGGCTATATTTGAGATCATTTCAGTGATGATTTTTACTAGGACATTGCGAAAATATAGAAAACACAGGAAAATTCCACGGAAAAGGAGTTGACTTATCTATGTGCTTTGAGATGTATGCTAGCTGTAGCTGCTTTATTTCAATTCATCTAAATGGCATTTAAAATACTACAGACGAAAGTATTTGACAAAAGCCAAAAAACCTTATAAAACCTTTATAACTAGAAACTGTTCTAAAACTCGAAATTCTTGATTTCAATTCAATTTTAAAAGAATGGAATCGTTGCACGTACTTTCGGCAACCAAAAGGAAATAAACGAGATGAGTAAATTTGTAAGCGAAAGAAATGGATAAAACGGCAGATCAAATAGACTATAACATTTTAACGATGACTAGAACAAAGGAAGTATAACTAGTACTTGAAATGAAATACCTGGAGATTGAGGGGATTGCGCTGGAGTGGTTGGTTGGAGATGAAGTGACTGGTATCCACGCCTGACTTTAATCCCATTGAAAATCTTTGGGATTACCTCGGCCGTGCTGTGTGTAAACGTTTCCCACCTCCAGCCACTCTCACAGGGTTGCAAACTGCTCTACAAGAGTAATGGTGATTACTCGCTTCTGCGGTGATCACCTCATTGATGTTTTGCGGTGATCAGTCCGTGGTCAATCACCACAAACCAGTCCGTGGTTGATATTCATAAGCACAGTTCAATTCGGATGATTATAAGTTTAACAGAACAGCTGAACTCGCCTTTGCGGTGATCCCCTCATTGCTGTTGTGCGGTGATCAGTCCCTGGTCACTCACCTCAGAATAGTTCGTGGTTGATATTCGTAAGCATAGTTCAATTCGGATAATTATAAGTATAACAGAACAGTTGATACGAATAATGCAAAAAAGATGAACATACAAAAATGAAAATAGTTTAGTGAAACGTGCTTCTTAAAAATCGAATTATAAATTGAAAAAAATACAAAGATAAAAAAATACTTATTCATATATTTTAATTATTCTTTTTAATAAAAAAATGTGTAAACAATCATAAAAGCTTTACAGTTCATCTTTCATTATAAGTGTAAATAATAATCGAATATTTGAATATCATTAATAAAATAAATACAATGAAACGAGATTTAGAATGCGGTCGATATTACAAAATGTAACCCACTTTTAAGTAAATTAGTAGTTGATACGCATCCAGTTTTAACTTCTACAACTTCCTTTCAGAAAGTTTTCCGCGCTTGTTGATTTCAGAAAACTGCATG